AACACTGCTGAATCCAAGAGAAAATAACAAGTTATCCTGTATCAATTTGAACTCCTACCACCAGGAAAAGCCTGTGAACCTCAATGCTGTGGCCATAGCAATACAACTTAACTTGATTTCATATAGTGGCCAGGGAAAATATGAGCATCTGTCATATGTGCCTTAGCAAGTAATCATCTGCCACCTCATACATAACAAGAAGGATGATGTCTATTCCTTAAAGACGTATGTTGGTGTCACAAGAGTGACTAGATGCAGGCTGCACTTAAATATCCTAGAATATACTTGCTTTAGCCTGATTACAGAAGTCAAGCACTGTTAAAATTGAGTACTTGCATGTAAACAAGTTTTTTTTTTGAATGTCTGAAGTAATAATTAATAACAGCTAAGGCCAGGGATTTAGCTCATTGGTTCCACTGCCTGCTTTACAAGTGCAAGGTCCCAAGTTCAATTCCCGGTACCAATAAAACAAAACAAAACAACAAAAAACAGCGAGAAGTGTTGGGAGAGCTCCTTCATGATTTTATATTAAAATCCAGAGGAAAGCATATAAGGGTGCTACCATCACCACCACTGTCCAAGCAGGCAGCAGTGTAGACTGCTTATTGGACAGGAGCTGGGATAACATCCACAACAAATGCTGATCTTTTTTTTAATCTCTTTATAAACAAGAGGTTAAGTAACCAGCAAAGCAGTGACAGAGTTAGTATTCAAACCCAGGCTGGACTCCAGAGCCCATCCTGGTCAAAACTTTACCGTGCCACCTTCCTAATGAGGACTCTGACACATAGGCTTTAGTAAATGTGACCAACTATAGAGATGATCCCTGAAAGTATAGCCTTTGGCTGTAGTAAATGTGACCCAAAATTAGATTAAGGAAAAGTGGGGACCGGAGATTTAGCTCAGTGGTTCCGCACACTGCTTCGGAAGCCTAAGGTCCCGAGTTCAATAAGCAGTACCAAAAAAAAAAAAAAACTTTGGAAGTAAGGAAAAGTCTGACATGTTCTTACTCCAAAAACAAGTCATTTAATTAGTGTCTTTTGGAACAGATATTCTGTAAAAATTTATTTCTAGTTAATTCATGCTTCCCAAAATTAATTTTACATATAACACATTTCTTTGCCTTACAGGGATTATAATGAATTTAAGATAAGTATTTGCTCTGTTTTGGGACCACCACTTTTCAATAACCTGAGTGGCCAAAAGAGTGCCATCTATAGGACTGTCTGGATTTTAGACTATTTCCTTACTTCTGTGAGTAGGAGCTATGAGGTATGATCCAAAAATAAGGTGAATGTTGAATTAGTACAGAAAGACAGACTGTGACCAATTATCCCCCAAATATTCCTCCATGCTTTGAACACATCCTTCCCATAAATCTTGCCACTTTCTGAAGCAATTCTGGAACACCTCTTTTGTGTCTTTAGTTGTATTGTCCTGGCTGCCTTCATGTCTTGAATCAATTAAAAACTTTTTATCTTTTATAGACATTTTGACTTTGGGTAAAAGATGGAAGTCACAAGGTGCCAGATCTGGTCAATAAAGTGGGTAAGGTCAAACACGCTTTTATCAACCTGCCTTTCGATAGACGGCACTGGGGACAAGCCTCTACTACGTTTCATCACATTTCACAAAGGCATTCATGAAAGATGTTCACAACTGCTTTCAGAAAGTGGGCAGAATCAAGGGGATAAGTGTGCTCAAAGTGAAGGGGAGTATTTGTGGAAAGATTAATGGTGGTGTGTCTCTTACTGTAATAAATTTTGTAACCTTCATCATGTAATATGATACCTAGTATCTTTTTCAAAGTTGTCATTATTGTATGCTGTTCTAGTTGATTTGACCTCTTTACTCTTGGCCTACCATTTTCTGCTTGTCATCTGCAATGGTATATTTCTGTTGTACTTTCTTCTTAAAGATCGAGAAAGGACGCTACCTCCAGATAAGTAAGGTCTTACCAAATTATCACGACTCTCACGTTATTTTTCAATGTATGTTTTTCCTCAAAATAATGTATTTTTCAAAATGTATTTTTTTCTGAAAGAAATTATAAGAAATTTAACAATTATTATCCTTGTAGAAATGATGTGGCAGAAAAAGTGGGAGGTGAAAAAGGAGGGCTTTCTCCCCTTTTTCATTTAGTACCTTTAATTAAATTTGGATTGTCAAGTGTTATATGTTTTAGCTTTACCTTCAGAATGTTAATGGTAGTTATCTGGGCAGGGAGAGTGACTTTTTTTCCTATTTTTAATATATTTTTTAAAAATCTGACAAGAGTTACAATGATTTTTTGTGTGTATTCATAGCCACAATATAACTACATATTGAAAACCATACATTTTAGAGATGTTCATGGCAATTACTTAAGAAACACAAACATTTAAAGAAACTCATGAAGTTAAATCTTAAAAGATCAAATTCTGCTGTAGCACTTTTTTTGGTGATTGCAACCTACTCTACACAGACAGAATAGAACTTTCCAATACTTTTCTAAAAATTACTTATTGACCTAAATTGTGAAATCACACTTTATATCATTTTTTGCTTAAAAAATTAAAATTCACATAACTATGCTAAGTTAAATGACAACGATACAGGTAAAAAAGCTCATTAACACAAACTATATATAATCAAAGAACTGGCCTGGGGAGTAGCTCAGTGGTAAAGCACTCTCATAGTGTGTGTGAGTTCCTAGCTCTGGGGAAAAAAATATAATCAAAGAATTGCTGAAATAAATATTTACTTCATTTCTTTATTTAATATTTAGAAAAAAGACCTTAAACAACAATTGAACAATAGTTGAATTTCCTCAAAATAGGGGGCTATAATTGGTTTGGTATATCTGATAAAATTCTCTAACTTTTAATATTATTGATCCTATTTGGTATACATAGCTAGATTTTTTTTGTTGCCACCAATGTTTTGGGTTACTTTTACTTGCTTTCTGGAACTCTTAAGGAAATATGCTGAGGAAAACACAAAGTGACAAATCAGGGAGGTATCATCTCATTAGTCCATGTTAAAGTCTTCACAAACTGAGAGCTATTTATTTGGGACTCATGTCTCAAAGTAGCTGGAACCTTCCCTATCAGACTGATACAATCCCTGTCAGAATATGGAAGTAGAGGCATTCTGAGCCAAGTAGTCAGAAAAGAACTGGTTTCTTAATATGCATGTTTGACTGTGTCATCTAAAGCAAAGGTAATGTTCAAGTAAGCTGATGAATCTGTAGGGAAAGCCCAGTGGCCAAAGAAAACAGAGCTTGAAACATAGTATGCACTCAATATATGCTGAATAAATGTATGAGATGATTCTATTTATATAACAAGTTATATAAACAAAATGATATCACTTTCCTCTTCAAAGTTAAAATAACATTTTTCATGTGGTTCTTGTCTGAGGAAAAAAGAAATGGATTGAGCAACAGCATGGAAGTGAGAATGAGCATGCCAACCTTTAGCTTTCTTTTCTTATAGGTATAAATTGCCTCCACAGTCCATGTCTTCCAGAGAAATAAAAGTTGGGATAACTGCAAGCTTGTTAAAAAGTTGTATGCAGGCCTCATAATTTAATTTCAGGGAACAAATTTAACTCCTGTGAATTTTTTCCACATTGTATGATCACCCTAATATGCATCTAAACTGACAAAGCTAAAGAAAAATCATATGGAGATATCTATCTTTCCCATTGTTCATGCTACTTCAACCCTTTATTATAAAGATCCCTTAACAGACACCAAGAAGAGTGAATAGTTCTTCATGGAATTCCTGAGCCCTTAATGGTCATCTGGTTCAATTACCAGAATACAGCCAGAAACTACCTGGGAATCACAGAACTAAATACAGAAGTGAGAGCACACTCTTCTGTTACCATAAATGATCTGTTAATCACAATCCATTCTTTTCTGTTAACTTATTTTAAAAAGCATTAATCTTCTGAGGACATATCACAATCAGAACAGCATTTAATACTACTAGCATTGGCTACATCATGTGGCTACTTTATTTATTTATTTTTTTGAGACAGGGTCTCATTATGTATTTGAGATTAACCTGGAACTCACTATTTAGCCCAGGCTGATCTTGAACTCAGTGATCCTGCTGTCTCAGCCTCCCGAGTGCTGGGATTATAGGCGTGCACCACCACGCCTGACTGGCTACATTAAATTAAGGAAAACATGATACAAATGTAGTTATTAGAGTATATTGTTATCATCATAGTCTGAATCTGAATTGAAGATTCTTTAAGTTACTCAAGGGTTTCATTTAGCAAGAAATCTCTGGTATACTTATCTAAAAGATTGCATTTCAAAAGATTAATGCAGCAAATTTAAACATTTGTATTTTTACAAATCCTACAGGAAGTGCTGAAAATGGATAACCACTTTTTTTGTATTTCTTAAATTATGTTTTTCTATATTTTGAGAAAATGGATATATGAAAATGTTTTTAAAACAGTTCTGCCAAATTCTGACAGAGACTTGCCATACAGTATTTTAATTTGTATTAATGTAGTATGAAGACTACTTAAAAACATTTCAAAATCAAGTTGTAATTCTTTTAGGTAAAATGTAAGTACCTCAGATAAATCACAGCATATAAACTGTTTAACTCAGAATTTGTCACATGCTGTCACAGAGAACCTTTGCAACAAAAAGAACACCTTGGTGTTGGCTACCCTGTAAAGGATAATGTTAAATAAAATAAGTACAAAATATATGGTGAACCACATTTTCTAAGAAAGCTTTGCACACTTAATAGAAAACCCACATCACCAAGGCACAACAGTGCCACTCAGTGGCTGAACAATGGTAGGGGACTGATAAACACTGAATGGAGTGTGGGTAACAGGAAAAGCAGACAGGCAATGGCAACACTATATGAAAGTCTGGAGAGAAGAAGGGAGGGAGGGAGGAAAAGGAGGGAGAGAGGAAGGGAGGAAGAGAGAAGGAAAGACTGAGAGAGGCTGGGGGGTGGGATATGTTGCTATGGTAACTGTACCTTGGAGGTCAGTTAGAGTCTGGGCAGGAACAGAAACCTGAGCATCGCTTCCTGTAACTACATCTCCTGGATTTCATAAGAAAAAAATAATGAGATTTTTATAAGAAAATAACCAACTTTACTTCTCTTTCATATTCAATTAGTACTTTTATCAAATTACTATAAATATAGCACAACAGAAAATGTAACAAGACTAGAAAAATATAAATATTTTTTAAAAGGAAATGTTTCAAAAAGTATTTCTTAAGAATTTTGTTTTTTCTACAGAGAAAGCAAACCAGTTTCTACTACACTAGAGTATAGGAAACTTAGCAATCACAAGATTTTGTTGAGTAAATTTCACAGTGCTAAAAATATTACTGTGATTTTATATTTTGTTTTTATTTAAATTTTAAACCCAAAAGAAAGGGGTACATCATTTATTAACATGAATTCTTCTGAAATTAATTTCTTCCTATATTATTCAAATTGACTTTTTTGTTGTTGTTGTTACTTGAGACAAGGTCTCACTATGTAGTTGAGACTGACCTGGAACTCACTACGTAGCCCAGGCTGGTCGAACTCACAGCGATCCTCCTGCCTCAGCCTCCCGAGTGCTGGGATTATAGGTGTGTGCCACCACACCCGGCTCTACAAACTGAATTTTAACTAAATTTGAAAGCAATTTTTTCAGTGGTAATGCCTAAATAAATTCTAATTTCTTACTAGATAATGAAAAGATTTCAAAAGTTGCCACATACACTTACAAATGTTAACATATAAAAACAAAGCTGTGAACTACATCCCCTAAATTTGATGTACTGTACTTAAGATTTCATTTACAAATTGAACATGTAGTAAAAAAGTAGTGTTCAAAATTTTTAAATAATTAAAAATAAAGACAAAAGAAACAAGAATAAAATAAAAAGCATTTTAAGCACCAAGAAAAGGAGCATAGCAGGAAGTCCGGTGAGGAGCCTGAAGTATTCTAACAAGGATCTGATTTTCTTCCTGAATGATGAAGTTCAACACTGAGCACATTCACTGTCAACAGAATAACCTTCTGGCTATAGCACCTCAAGGCCTATACTATTTTCAGGTTAACAAAACTTTTTAAAAAGCAGTGTATTTTCCTCAAAGATAAATTATAATTAACAGAATTACTTCTCCTTTACCTTTTATATAATATATACAGTAGTTTAAAAAAATCAAATTTGAATTAAATAACATGCTGTCAGTGTCCTGACCACTTGCTACAATTATTTAAGCATGGCCAACTCATCTGGAAATTGTTAGGTTATAATTATATCATCCCCATCAATTAACAGGATATACATCTGCATTCTCCTATAATGGAAAGAAAAACCTATATATAGTAACATATTCCAAACAACTGATAAACAGCTTCCAGGGGAAATGGTCAAGTCCTGAATTTTCATAATATAGTTAACTCTAAATTCACTGATAAATGGTAGGCCTACTTTCTGTACATTTACAGGAAATTCTATACCTGCTACTCATTTTACTTTAGGTTGTCTACTAAAATATATGTAGAGTCTACAACTCATTTTAATATGAATATCTTCAAAAATTATGGGGAACATCTGTGTTGCTCTTGTTTTCTTCATTATCCCAACCCCAACACATACACAAGCTACACAATGTATTTCAACCAATACATGCATGAATTTGGATTACAAACACTACTGTCCCCTTTATAAACACAGATAACTGTAACCTAAAAGACTTTATACATTTTTCTCTTTACAAACAACTATTTTTCAAAACAACTTTCAAATTTTCCAACAGAGTACACTAAAAAGGCTATGATATTTCCACAAAGGCACTAAGTAGATGACTATTCAAGATAGACATCCATGCCAAAATGAGCCCCTCCACAGGCTGTTGTGATCAATGACCTCAGGTGACATACTTGCAGATTTGTCAGTGAAATAACACAGCAGAGTACCTGTGGGAAATACCAGCACAAAGAATCAGTGCTGGAGAAATATTTTTCATTGCAGAGTTAATAAATACATTTTCCACAAAAAGAATGACAGAATTTTTAGATCTGGGAAGCTCTGTAGGAATCAGTCCAAACCTCTCATTTTCTGGTGAGGTAATGGAGGCAGACAGTTTAAGGGAGGAAGAGCATCAAACATTCTTTCTACTTCTATAAACTGTTTTATGCTCTTTATTTTATTCAAGTCTTTATGCAGAGAGGAGCATTAGCAGAAATATATAAAGAAAAGTAGAATAGCTCTTTTGGTAGACTGGCACAAGAAGAGTGTACCAGAAATAAAAATATATGAGTTGCAAAACAACGCCAATTTCTTCCAGGATAGGGATCAGTTACAAAATGCCCCAGTGGTACTCATGTTCCAAATACTTTGCTTAAATGCTCTGCTGTCTACTTGTAACTAGGGACTTAGTTTTCATCAATTGTTACATCTCCATAGTCTTCCTTTCTCACTTACTATGATATTAATACTTGACATTTCCACTGAGACACAACTTTATATTTCTACAGTCATTTGGCTTTGTTCCTCTGAAAATTTAAGCTGCAGCATTGAGAGATTCTCTGACTCATTTGCCTGCCATCAGTTAGAAATACAACTGACTGAAGCTTGTTATCCAAGCAATATTGAATCATATTTGTTTAGAACAATAAAACAGTAAATATATGAAATAACATTCATTTCCATTCTGGAAGCAGGCATATCTCCTGGCATTAAAATACATTTACAATATGTTAAAATGATCTGACATCTTCTTTTCTTTAAGGCTCTACAAACTGAATTTTAACTAAACTTGAAAGCAATTTTTTCAGTGGTAATGCCTAAATAAATTCTAATTTCTTACTAGATAATGAAAAAACCCGGCTCTACAAACTGAATTTTAACTAAATTTGAAAGCAATTTTTTCAGTGGTAATGCCTAAATAAATTCTAATTTCTTACTAGATAATGAAAAGATTTCAAAAGTTACCACATACACTTACAAATGTTAACATATAAAAACAAAGCTGTGAACTACATCCCCTAAATTTGATGTACTGTACTTAAGATTTCATTTACAAATTGAACATGTAGTAAAAAAGTAGTGTTCAAAATTTTTAAATAATTAAAAATAAAGACAAAAGAAACAAGAATAAAATAAAAAGCATTTTAAGCACCAAGAAAAGGAGCATAGCAGGAAGTCCGGTGAGGAGCCTGAAGTATTCTAACAAGGATCTGATTTTCTTCCTGAATGATGAAGTTCAACACTGAGCACATTCACTGTCAACAGAATAACCTTCTGGCTATAGCACCTCAAGGCCTATACTATTTTCAGGTTAACAAAACTTTTTAAAAAGCAGTGTATTTTCCTCAAAGATAAATTATAATTAACAGAATTACTTCTCCTTTACCTTTTATATAATATATACAGTAGTTTAAAAAAATCAAATTTGAATTAAATAACATGCTGTCAGTGTCCTGACCACTTGCTACAATTATTTAAGCATGGCCAACTCATCTGGAAATTGTTAGGTTATAATTATATCATCCCCATCAATTAACAGGATATACATCTGCATTCTCCTATAATGGAAAGAAAAACCTATATATAGTAACATATTCCAAACAACTGATAAACAGCTTCCAGGGGAAATGGTCAAGTCCTGAATTTTCATAATATAGTTAACTCTAAATTCACTGATAAATGGTAGGCCTACTTTCTGTACATTTACAGGAAATTCTATACCTGCTACTCATTTTACTTTAGGTTGTCTACTAAAATATATGTAGAGTCTACAACTCATTTTAATATGAATATCTTCAAAAATTATGGGGAACATCTGTGTTGCTCTTGTTTTCTTCATTATCCCAACCCCAACACATACACAAGCTACACAATGTATTTCAACCAATACATGCATGAATTTGGATTACAAACACTACTGTCCCCTTTATAAACACAGATAACTGTAACCTAAAAGACTTTATACATTTTTCTCTTTACAAACAACTATTTTTCAAAACAACTTTCAAATTTTCCAACAGAGTACACTAAAAAGGCTATGATATTTCCACAAAGGCACTAAGTAGATGACTATTCAAGATAGACATCCATGCCAAAATGAGCCCCTCCACAGGCTGTTGTGATCAATGACCTCAGGTGACATACTTGCAGATTTGTCAGTGAAATAACACAGCAGAGTACCTGTGGGAAATACCAGCACAAAGAATCAGTGCTGGAGAAATATTTTTCATTGCAGAGTTAATAAATACATTTTCCACAAAAAGAATGACAGAATTTTTAGATCTGGGAAGCTCTGTAGGAATCAGTCCAAACCTCTCATTTTCTGGTGAGGTAATGGAGGCAGACAGTTTAAGGGAGGAAGAGCATCAAACATTCTTTCTACTTCTATAAACTGTTTTATGCTCTTTATTTTATTCAAGTCTTTATGCAGAGAGGAGCATTAGCAGAAATATATAAAGAAAAGTAGAATAGCTCTTTTGGTAGACTGGCACAAGAAGAGTGTACCAGAAATAAAAATATATGAGTTGCAAAACAACGCCAATTTCTTCCAGGATAGGGATCAGTTACAAAATGCCCCAGTGGTACTCATGTTCCAAATACTTTGCTTAAATGCTCTGCTGTCTACTTGTAACTAGGGACTTAGTTTTCATCAATTGTTACATCTCCATAGTCTTCCTTTCTCACTTACTATGATATTAATACTTGACATTTCCACTGAGACACAACTTTATATTTCTACAGTCATTTGGCTTTGTTCCTCTGAAAATTTAAGCTGCAGCATTGAGAGATTCTCTGACTCATTTGCCTGCCATCAGTTAGAAATACAACTGACTGAAGCTTGTTATCCAAGCAATATTGAATCATATTTGTTTAGAACAATAAAACAGTAAATATATAAAATAACATTCATTTCCATTCTGGAAGCAGGCATATCTCCTGGCATTAAAATACATTTACAATATGTTAAAATGATCTGACATCTTCTTTTCTTTAAATCATGAAAAAAAATGCAATCTTAAATGAGATATTCTCATGTAAACTGAATATTCTGATAAAAATTTAAATACTAACCATATAAAGTCTGAAATTTCATATAGACAGAGAAATACAGAAAAGACAGATGACATGTAAACAATGGAGGAATACAGACACGTGTGTGCAGGTATGTGCAAAAACACATCCTCATTATTGAACATTTGTTAATCTGCAGCATTGGGTAATAGAGTCTATACATCTACAAATATAAATGCAAATGTGTAAAGTTTGAAATAATTTTGGACATAACCTTCTTAAATGGAGTATACTGAACTTTATTTAAGGTTTTTTTACTGGTAATACTGTGAATACTAAGTATTAAACACTGATGTAACACAGGGACTCTTTATGACATAAAAACTTGAATCAGGATGTTTGTTCTGATACTAAATGGTCCCAGACTTTGTTTTCTGAGGTCATAGAATACTCTTTGTGTATTTTCTTCTATCATTTAGTGTTTCTTGCTTTTGCAGTATACTTAGCAGAGTCCCATTGCTAAAAATAAATGTCGCTGTTTGTAGTCTACTAGGAATAGAGAGACCTAAAAAAATTAGGTCTCTTTGAAAATAAAGAATACTGTATAAAGATTCTAGGTAAGAGCTTTCTCTGAAGGGCTATCTTATGAGTAAAGTACCTGAGGGAGGTGAAGCACTGGCAAGGACCTGACATAGCAAAGAACTTACCTGACTGCCAGTAGCAGGAGCACTACCAGGAGCAGTACCAGCAGCAGTGCTTTTACCCATCAAACAACAGATGTGGATTGGATGATCTCCCAGGTTTCCTCTGCTCTTAAATCCTATGGTGCTAATCTTTAGTGTATGGACTCAAACACTTATTTTGGCTGCTTGAGGTTTTTTTAAGCTTTTTAAACAATTTTATTTCTTCTCCTTAAGATTCTAGTTTGTATTCCTTAAAGGGAAAGCAGCTAGACGAGAGACCACAAGCCTACTGGCATGCTTTCTCCAAACTACTGCAATGCATTGATACATACTATGATGAGAAAAGCATATGGTATTTATACCTTTTCAATTCACACTTTTCTGAAAGGTATCATTACTCTCTTGGGACCATTACTAATATAAAGTTAGCAGGAAACATAGGCAACTGATCTCAAGTTCTATACTGTAATCATACATAGGGGCAGCCTCTGGACAAAAATGCAAGTATACTAGAATATAAATGTTTTGAAAACTGGCTTCACAAAGTACAGTATCAGACATCCCAACTTAAAAAAAAGATCAAATACAACAGATTTTTAAAAGTTAAGTCTTGCACTAATTTTTGTTTTGGAGAGGCTGTTTCCTCATAGGTAGGTAGGTAAGGAATTCCTAGGCTACACTGTGTATTCTTTGGCTTTACTAGTATTTTTTCCCTACCTTTGTTCAATTGCACCGGCATGCTTTCAGATTTCATCATCCTCTGCTGCTGTTGCTGCTGCTGCTGCTGCTGCTGCTGCTGCTGCTGCTGCTGCTGCTGCTGTTGCTGATGCTTTGGGCCTTCTGTGGAGGTTTTGGGGGGAATCACAGCACAAGAGCTGTTGTCCCCTGTTATAGGGCCACTCACGCTGCCTGGGGCCATGGCTGGGGAAATCAACTTTCTTCCAAAATTTATCAGGCTATTAGAGACCTTATTTATATTCAGGGGAGTGCCTTTGGGGTTGGACCTGTTTAAAAAACAAAAGTTAAGTGGACATACATTATTTAAATTAGAAGATGACAATTTCACATACTCCACTAGTATATAAACATACCTTGTCCTGCTTTGTAAAGGGGCTTTTATTAGATCAGCTATATAAAGAAGTGAAAACTTAAGTGACCACAGAATGATAAAATAACAGGATTCTTAAAAACAGAACCTATGAAAACAATCTTACTGCTTTATATTCATTCTTTTATTCTTTTAACAAAGAGGACACACTATGTGCCAGTACAGGATTATAATGGAGGATACATTTGCCCCAAACAGACATAGTTCCCTTCTTGGAGCTTGTAGTTGTTGAGAAAAAAATAAATTAATCAAAAAAATCACATAGATAAGTATATGTCTAAAATCTCTGATGTGGACAGTAAAGGAGAGGTGAAAGGCTTGCAAAGTCCTGGGGTGTGCAGAGAAGGGGAATGTGTGAAATGAGGCTGAGAGTAGAATTCCAAGCCTAATAGGCTAGATTTAATTTTGCTTTGAAAATAAATGCTTCTCAGGAAGAAATGGTCTGAAGAGGAGGAGGAAATGGGAGGAGTAAGGGAAAGGAAAGGGGAAGGAAAACATGAGAAGAGGAAAAAATAGAAACAAAATCTTTGTAAATAGGGAGGGGAAGGGTTAGAGGGAAGGCAGGGGAATGAGGAAAACATAAGAGCCAAGACATTTCAGGTAAAGGTTCAAATTTCCAATGATGTACATGATATCGTACACCTAAAATGTACCAATAAACTTAATGTAAAAAAATGTTCCTGAGAACCATGAAGTAAATTTCTAGAAGTTATGCCAACTGCCTAGTTCATTAAAATTGCAGCCCATCTCAACCCCTTGCCCCCCAACCTCCATGCTCTCTTGCCCCACTTCCCTGTTTATTTTTCTTGATAGCACTTTGCATTATCTGACATATTATATTTTAGTTACTTATTTCACTATCATTTGTTAACCTCCTACAATCTCCATTCAAATATGTTTCATGAAAGCAAGGATTTTTGTCTTTTTTGTTAATATTGCCATATTGCCACTGAGTAGTACACTGTAGCTACTTTAAAATATTTATTAAATGGTAGCTGCATGTAGCTATAGTCGAAGTCTTTCTCACTTGTAAGAAGTCCATGCTCCTAGCCATGATAGCCTCTGCATTTGTGCTCTGAAACTCATCTCCTCTTATCCTGTGAGACTGCTGCTCCTGCAGCCTTTTTGTCCTGCACCATTACTCTCTTCCTCTCTACTGTATCGTTACCATTATCACACAACCATGGTGACTTCCTATGGGAGCGTACTATTTTCTTGTTTGGTCCCCCATACCTGTGTAGTTCCCATTTCATTTCTTTGCCTACTCATGTTTTCTCAAAGTATCTCTACATGTTACATCTGCTCCCTTTGGTCCACTAAGCTCTGGCTGTGGCCTCTTTGCTACCGTAGTAAACCAAGTCAAGGTCACTAGTGATTTCTGCACTGCAGACCCCAAGATCTATTCATGTTTGACTCTGTCACTCAGTGGCTATCAACTCACCCCACACTCTAATTTTTTTTCTTGGCTTCTTGTATGGCTTGCCAGTACCTGTGTTATAAATGTATTGGCAAAAAAGGATACCAAAAAATATCCACTAAATGAATGATTACTTCCTTCATAATCTTGCAGTATATTCCAGGATTACTATCTTGAAGACCAATTATGATTATTTTAGTTGTAGGAGGTAGTCCCATTCCATGACAATACCAAACTATATTTTTACTGCCTAAATCATTCATAGAAATTTAATCTTTTCATCAAAGTACAGAAGATTATATTTCATTTTAGTTAATTTGAATTTTACTATTATTTTCCTCTCGCAGATCTCTGTGGCAGCACTTATACAGTAATTCTACTTTTTATATGACAGCTGTATCCTTGGTATTACTAGGTATCACTCTCTCAAACAGAATGGATCCATACTTTTATAATAAAAACAAAAAGAACACTATGCTTCTTCCTTCTATTAAGTTTTGTCTAATGGCACTACCTAATATTATGAGCAAGGTATTGAAAGCTTACATTGCTTTCGAGACAGAACAATTCCAGTATAAAATTTGGAATTCATCCTTACAAAAGGAAAATGTATTTATTTATAACTCAATGGAGTGCGAAAATTTTTCAAATGGCTCCTTTTGTATTGTTTCATCTTTAATGAACTGAGCTATTTAATGTTCTTCCAAAATTATTAATAATAATGTTTCTTAGTGGAAATAAGTATACTGAATGCTTATATATCATTCATTTTCTTAGCTGCATTTTTACTGAAAAAAAAGAATAAAATAAAAAGAATTCATAAATTCTGGATTAACTAAGCATTTACCTCAGGCATGATGTTTTCTACTCAGCAGTTGGGTATGCATTCTTATTTCTTGTGATAGTAGAAAGAAAAGCTATCATGATACCGAAGTTCAGTTGCATTTTTGTTTTGATCGTTTATAAGTCAAGATTCATAATTCACAAATATGAAGAAGTTATAATGTTGTTACCCTTTTTTATAAACAAAAACATACTAGTCAAATTCCCATACTGCCAGCTGTAAAATTTATATGTTGATAAAAGTACTGAGAAACAGCTAGTGCACTATCAAGAGAATATAGCTAATGTATCTTCATTAGTACTAATAACCATGAAAAACATATAGCTCAAGCTCATGCTGAGTAATTTTTCATCTGAATAGCTCTTAAAAGGAGATGAGCACTGTTTCCTTTTTTTGAACTTTTTGTTTTTAACCACTTCCCCCCTCATCTACTATCCAGAAGCTTATTTTCCAGGGCATATTTTCTTTTCAAAACAAATGAAGACAACTCTGTATTTTTAGGATACAAACAACTGAAAATCATGTAATTGTATAGAAAGCATGCTGACTACAGTTTGACGCATGACAGCTTGTATGCCAAAGTTATCTAATTTAGATCTAAAATAATAGTAGCAGCATTCTTTACATGAAATACTAAACAGATTCTAATATATATTAAGGTTGTGATGTGTGATGTGATGTGTGCATGTGAAAATGCAGTTTTCAGAGATGTGAGAAACACAAGGATTTGGGTTAGAGATAAGGTACAGTGTTTGGTGTTAAATAAGGGGAATACTGAATAGCAAATCTAATGAGTAACCAACTATGTGTAATCAAACTCTTTACTACCTTTGGCTATTTATTATTTATTTATTTATTTATTTTGGTTTTTTGAGACAGGGTCTCGCTATGTAGTTGAGACTGACCTGGAACTCACTATGTAGCCCAGGGTGGTCTGGAACTCACAGCGATTCTCCTGCCTCAGCCTCCTGAGTGCTGGGATTACAGGTGTGCGCCACCACACCCAGCTTGGCTATTTAGTATTACTAAAAACAGTAATGCATAGGGAAGATTGTTTTAAAAATGTGCCAAAAACTTACTTTTTGGTACCATCTCAGCAGGTTAAATCAATAACAGTAGGGGCATTTTCTGAAGATAGAAGAATCTCTTCAAAACACATGTACTATAACCTAACTCTGACCTGACTCTATTGTTGGGCTCCTTTTATTCCGTTTCTGAAACTCTGAAAATGGGTAACACCTTCTAGCTTCTTACTACCCTGTTGGTCTCTTACAGCAGGCTATATGACCTTCACTCGATTCACTGAAAGAGCTCTACGGGATAGAGCAGCTTCTTAAGTGCTAAGAGTCATGTCCTGTTTTGATTCAACTTCTAAAATTCATTACTACCTCTTTTATAAACTCTGCACAGGGCCAGGGATTTAGCTCAATGGTGCCACCCCCTGCTTTGCAAGTGCAAGGTCCCAAGTTCGATCCCTCGTACCAGAAAAAACAAAACAAAACACAACTCTGCACAACCTTTTCTCTTGTGGTAGCGAAACCTTGACATCATTCTGGTTTATCTATTTTCTACTTATAGATTTTTTTCAGATATGATATTATACATCTAGTATTTATTTCACTTTCTGTAATATAATTTGTTTAGACACTTGCCTATATTTCTGTCAAAGAATCAGAAAATAAATTCAATTAATTTTAAATTATTTTTCTTTATATTCTAATTTACAGTTTTCTTGTTATTTCTTTCCTGTGTTTCCACAGGAAACAAGCTATGTGCTTGGCTCATTAATTTGTTCATTCATTCACTTTTTTCATTCTTTTTCCCAATAAAAACATTATTCAAAGCTACACATTTGTGTCTGATTATAGCATTAGCATCAAAGATTTTTTTCCTCATCTTCTAAACAGTCTGCTGACACAATTGTTATTTAGGTACATTTTAAGTTTCAGATAGTTGTCTGTATTTAAATATATTACTTATTTTGTTTTATTGAATAAAAATAGAAAAAACAGGAAAACAAAAGTGGGAATATGTTCTAATTTTTAAAAGGATTTTAAAAACCACAAATTAGAAAACATATATTATATACATATATTTAGTAATTACCTGGAAATAAGTTATTATAGGTACCCAATATAGTTCACTAAAAATAGGTAATTCTAAGACAACGTTTCTGTTTCATAGTGTTTAAGTCCACTGGATTTCAGTATTTGTACATATGACAGAAGATAATGCATGCTTAGTTAAGTTGAACGTCTGCACCCCACGTGTACTGGTCAAGGTCAATGGCCCACTGAGGCTCCTAGTGATGTTACGTGTCTTAAACTTCATTCATAGACTTGCTTACTTATTTGTTTTTAGTCACTGAATAAGCTGGGTAAATTTGGGAGAGTTATTCTGCCCTGTAGGACCTAAGTTTCCTTCTCCCTAAAATAAAGGGGCTAAATTTTAGGTTCCTTTAAAGTAAAAAAAAAAACAAAAAAAAACTACAACTTTGTGACTTGGAGAACATATAATACATTTCAGAGCAAAAGACTACAGAGATTCCTAATACATCAGATATAAGAATCAAAGTTTAAAGTAATAGGGTAGCATGAGAGATAGATAAAGCACAAAAAAATTAATGAAGATAAGT